TTTCCAGCGGCCCCTCCTAGTACCCCCTCTCCCTTCCCCCTCCTCCCAGCGGCCCCTCCTGGTACCCCCTCTCCCTTCCCCCTTCCTCCCCAGCGGCCCCTCCTGGTACCCCGTCTCCAGGAAGAGCAGCTTGGCGAAGAGGAGGCGTACACTTGGTCTTTGCAATCTGCCTTCGCTCTTTTATTCGGTAAAAAATGGAGGAGGCTTTTGTTTTGCTTTCATACGTTTTGTTTCCAGCACAAGGCCAGGGACCACAGGGCTTTTGTGGCGGGCGCTGAGAACGGTAGCATATGGGAAACCATTCACTGAAGGGCGCTCGCTCCCCGTCATTGCTGCGCTGGGGGAACTGGGCTGCACCTGAGGCCACATCCTCAGCACAGGCTTCAGGGCGACTCCTGGAGGACGGTGTGGGGCCCTCCTCACCTTCGTGAAATGGGAGAACAAAGCCAGGCGGGCCCAGTGTTTGAGTGTCAACCTAGGAACCGGGAGATCACAGTTTGATTCCGGTCAAGGGCGCATGCCCAGGTTGTTTGCTCAATCTCCAGTAGGTCGTGTGCAGGAGGCAGCCGATCTACGATTCTCTCTCATCATGGAAGTTTCTCTCTCCCTCTCCCTTCTTCTCTGAAATCAATAAAAACATGTGTGTTTTTTTAATGATAGAACAATTGGAGGTGTTGGTAAATAATTCAGAAGGGTCTGAACTAGAAGTTGTCTTTTAAATCAAATGATTCTGCTTTGCCTTGTTTTAAGTAATTAAAACAACCAGGGCTGTGGTTTTTACAGTGCTTTTCGAAAACACAGAGTAGTTATCAAAACAGAAGCATTTGATGACCCAGAATTGCAGTCTTAGACCTTCCCCCCACTCTCAGGGTGCTGCCTGTTCACAGCACTTTCCAAGACAAGTGTGTGCATAGAGATTTGTTTTCAAACCAAACTTTCACAGTAGAAAATGTTACCTCGTAAGAAAAATGTGTATTTTCCTTTAATTTAGAGGACTTTAAACCCCAGTTGTGAAATTACTTCTTTTTGAAAAACTACTTGTCTCTTATTTGGGAAGTTTCAATGAACATGTGATTATGTGTGGGAGATGGGAGAGAGGGTTACACAGCGAACACCTCATTGTTATTCCTTCAAAACAGCATCTCTATTAACATCTGTGCATTGGTGAGCAACCCAGGAAGTGTGATCAGTGAGATAAAAGGAACATTGAAGAGGAAATATATACTCTTTATTTGCAAAATCTCATTGTTTAAAACATTGTTATTGTTTTAAACACACACACACACACATGCACACACACACACACATCAAATTTTAAACTCTGAGAAGGACCTCAGTGTTTGCTTTGAATTCGAACTGCCAATGCATTGATTATAGACAAAGGTGTTGTCTTACGCAGTTGAAATAGCTAATATGCATATTAGGAAGCTCTCATGAAATGACTAATGAAGCAAAGAAATTTGTTGGTTTTTCCCTCAGTATGCTTAACGAGGTGTGTACCTGTGCATGCATTGTAAACATGAGAGCATCTGTATTACATAAAAGTCTGTAAGTGTGGCGTGAATAGCATTTCTCGGGTTTAATTGGGGGACGTTGCCTTGTGAGTTTGCCAGGCAATATGAGTGAGCAGGGCTGTGTTGTACACGCTTTATTGTTATGGGATGCAAATCAGCACCAAATGCCAGCGCGTCCATTAGGCCTCACTGCGAAGTGCAGACAGGAAAGGTTTCAGCCGCGTCGGAAAGGTCCTGGCGCTACCCGCTGTCAATCACGCCCCGAGCTTCTGCAAAGGAGCCTTTGGGGCTGAGGCAAATTGGGGATACGGAGGCAACCCTAAGATGTTGACAAAATGCGGGGAGCCTCTGTGGTTGAGTCCCGAGGATAGGCAGCATATCCAGGGAAGGGAATCACGGATCAGTATCCAGGGAGGGAAGGGCGTTTCATGGCTGAGGGGCATCGTCACTGGCCTGGAAGGCAGAGCCCTGAGCGGGTGTTTCTGTGCCGTTTACCAAGGCCGCCACGTGGGCAGACGTGGCAGCTCAGTGGAGGAGGAGGGGCCCAGGAGCCCAGATAGGAGCCATCCTCTGTGCCGAGGGGCTGGCCGTGGCCAGGGAAAGGGGTGCGGTGGGCTGACAGAGGAGGTGAGGCTTTCGCTTCTTCATCCACCTGTTCCTCACTCAGCACCTCCCCGTGGGGACCTGTCTCCAGGGGGCGCTGAAGGGGTGGCTCCCAGGAGGGGGCAATGCTGAATCGCTGTTCAGCGGACAGGAGAGACGGTGCAGGAAATGCTGTGTCTCCTGCAGAGCGTGGCTTAGCAGAACCCTGGCCTAGGGTTCCAGTGCACACTCTACTTCTCTGAAATCAATAAAAACGTATTTTTAAGAGAATGACACTCTCAGAGCATCATGCATGGCCCCTGGGACACCGAGGTCACACGTGGCCTCAGCTGGAGGAGCCTGAGGAGGAACAGGAACGCAGGAGGCGTCAGGAAGAGGCGTCTCCAGAGCTCCCCGGGAGAGGCTTCCGGAAGCGGCGGGGGATGGGGAGGCCAGAGGAGAGTTGAGGCTGAGGAGTTTGCCAGGGTCCCTGGGGAGCAGGGAGACCAGTGAGCAGACCCGGGGGAACACAACAGGAGAACGGTACATTGCGAGTGGCCAAAGAGTCCACAGCAGTGTCCCCCCCCCCCCCTGCTTGTGGAAAATACGTCTGATTTTCTATGGAAACTGTGCATACTGTTTCATTTTCATGTGGCGTTTCTATGTTGGGAATAATTGGATAAGCAAGGCATTTATGGCTTTCCAAATAAATAAAGGACATCATACATCATATCAAAGGACAGCTTTCAGAATATATTCCCCTTTGCAAGCATGCAATCAGCAATGGCCACATGAGATTTGAAGGGTGTGTGAGCTTGAATGAACATACACACACACACACACACACACACACACACATTGATTTTATAAAGAGAGAGGAAGGGAGAGGGAGCCAGAGAAGCATCACTGATGAGAGAAAATCATAGATCAGCTGCCTCCTGCACGCCCCACACTGGGGATGGAGTCAACACCCCGGGCCTGTGCCCAGACCAGGAATCGAACCCTGACCTCCTGGTTCACAGGTCGATGCTCAACCACTGAGCCACGCCGGCCGGGCTGGGCTTGTCATTTCATGTCTGAGTCTCCGTGTCTACGTGTCAGGAGAACTGCCTATCTCTCTTCCACTTCATTTGTATTCGGGTACAAGGACCCTGTTAAATGTGCATGTTGCACAATTAATGAATATTTTATAAACAGATTTCCTGAGTTTAAATGTCTTTGAAAATCACTTGCCCTGTGTGTTTTTTTCCTTCTTGGTATAACCCCGGTAGTGTTAGCGGTGATTTTGCTGTTTGCCGAAATCTAGCCCTCCCGGGGAACTGACAGCTACTCACCCCTGCCGCTCGGCAGCCGTTCCCAGTTCACAATGCAGGCTGTCTCCGGGCGGGCTGGGGTGGGTTTCCGGGCAGCTCCCAGCGAGTTCCCGACGCCACTGCCTGCACGAGGGCCCAGGCCTGGAGAACATGGGAAGTTGATGAGGCCCCCTACCTGTAGCCCATTGGAAATTCTATGTTTTCCACCTTAATTTCTGATCTGCAAGCTTTCTTATAATTCAAATTATTTTAAAAAGCATTTTATTTACTCCAGAAGGAGTAAATAAATATACTATATATATAAAGGCCTGAGCAACCGTTTGACCATTCAACCAGTAACTATGACATGCACTGCACCAGGGGACAGACACTCAATGCAGGAGCTGCTGAGCTGTGGTGACTTGGCAGCTGTGGTTCTTGGGTGATGTACCCCAGAACCAGAAGGAGAGAGCCCGATTCCAGGGTGCATCATGAGAACTACCCTCTTGCAATCTGGGACCCTTTGGGGGGTGTTGGAGAGCCGGTTTCAGCCCAATCCCCACAGGCCAGGATGAGGGACCACACCTGTGCACAAACCCATGCACAGGGCCTCCAGTGTGATTACAAAAGACTAAATTGGGCCGAGAATTGTAATCCTTTAAGCATTTGGAAGGATGACCCCACCCCCCACCGTCTGCTGCTTCATTTCTTGGTTAAGGGACCCCCGGGACCTTGGAGAGTTTGGGGATCGCTCCTCTCACTTTCTCCTGTCCTGTGCACCCCGTTGAGTCTCAGCTGACTCCTGACCCCGCATCCCCGGCACCCTTCTTGTAAAGGAGGTTCTGTGTCACCAAATCCATGACACTTCTCCCGTCTAAGCTCTCAGGGGAGCGGTCATTGGTTGGGGGCACGTGTTTCTGGGTGATGAGAATAACTTCGGCCACGGGACACCAGTAGTCTTTCCCACGCCTGGAACCTCCGCTGTGTCCGCGATGTTATTACTGAACAATGGATGCCGTTGCATAACTTAGACAACCCTTCCCCCCTCACGAATATATGGCAGGTGGCAAAATCAGTATTGTTTTCATCTTAAAAACGAGAATGCCCAGGGTCAGAAGAGTGAAGTCATGTGTTCAAGTCTTCAAAGACAACTGAGGGTCCTGGCCCATGTGGCTCAGTTGGTGGAGCACCATCCTGTGCACGGAAAGATTGCTGGTTTGATAGCCAGTCAGGGTACATGCTCAGATTGGGGGATCGATCCCCAGTGGGGCTGGGGGGAGTGGGGGAGGGAGGCACGTGTGCAGGAGGCCACCAATCGATGTTTCTCTCATATCTCTCTCTCCGCCCTCCACCTCTCCCCCTTTCTCTTTCTCTAAAACATACCCTCAGGCGAGCATTAAAAACAGATAAATGAAGAAGTCTCTGGTACCAGGCACAAGTCCCAAATCTCATCCTCTGCTCCACTTAGAATCTGCTGTTACTTAATGGTTTGTCTTTCAAGGGATGCGCGGCTACTCTTATCCAGTACTTGGCCATTGAGCACACGCCCATGTCATCCCATGAGCCCCTGTGTGTGAAGTCTGCCTGAGCCCGTTCTCTCCTCTGTCTGCAGGTCCTCATCGCGAGCATCATGTGCAGCTACAACAAGAGCGACTGGATGGAGCTCGCCAGCATGGCCGAGGTAACCGTCCTCTCTCTCCTATTTCCTCTCTTCTCTTTCTCTCGGCTGTAAATAAAGAGCCGCAGTGGGAACGAGCCCCCTGGCAGCAAAACTGAATGGAAAATGGTAACAAAAAACAAAACAAAACCGTTTCTATTATCATGTGTTTCTCGGCGTTTCCATTAACCGGACGGAAAGGGAAAGGGACTCCGGCCCATAAAATGGTCCCTGGGAGTTCACAGGCTGCCAGCAGCCTTCCTCCTCGCCCGCCCACTTCCTCTGATTTGCATAGAAAGCAACCCTACAGGAGGGTGGATGTCGCGATCAGGCATAATGCCACCCTGGAGAGTCCACTGGATCTTGCCTGGCCTTCAGGCAAGCTGGTGTGACAGTGAAGGGAAGACACTGTGAATACAACACCCTCGAGCATTTAAAATCTGAAAGGCCTGTTCAATACCACTCCCAGTATGACCACAGGCAGGCCTGGAACTGGGGACCGAGGCTCCTGAGCGGGCGCCGGTGAGCGGGTTTCTGTCACATCAGGGGCGCCTGCCAAACGTGGACAACTCCCCAAGGGCTCACATTTGTGTCTTATTTTAACTTCACTTCTTTTAGTATATCTTTGTTGATGTCAGAGAGAAGGGGCGAGGGAGATAGAAACATCAACGATGAGAGAGAATCATGGATCAGCTGCCTCCTGCACACGCCCTCCTGGGAATCGAACCACCCCAGCATGTGCTCTGACCGGAAATCGAACTGTGACTTCCAGGTTCATAGGTCAACGCTCAACCACTGAGCCACGGCAGCCAGGTTTAATTTGTGTTTTAAACAGAAAAAGAAAAAAAAAAATACACATTTAACATTATACACTATCGGGAAAGATACTGGAGACAGGTTTAGGGCTTTCTGGAAACAGAGGGGACAGTGCCTCTGACCCGCCTGTGCACTGACTGTGCTCGCGTGCAGGAATGAGGGAGTGCCGCTTCCTCGGACGCCTCAGCGCTGTGCGGGGAATTGCTTCTGGGACCTGGGGGCTGAAATTAGACGTGATCCGTAATCGGCCCCTGCGCCGGGGCGCGGGGTCCATTTTCTCCGTGTATTTACCTAATTGAGCGTGAAATCTTCCACGGAGCCGTGCCTGGCGTGAGGCTGGCCGTGTTAAGCTGACGATGATGAATCGCTTTACCCGCTGCCGGCTTCCCGCCCATAGAAGAGCGGCCGTGAGAAACAGGCCCTTCGGTCGGGCGCCTTTACATGAGCGAGTTTTCCTTTGAAGAGTTCAAAAGCCTTTGTATCAGTAACACGCCAACTGGCTCACCCGCCGAGCCATGCGGGTCAGGCTGCAAGATCTTAACTTAGAGTGTAGAAGGCTAAGGAGGCCAGGTTTTCCTCACATGCCGTCCCATCATCAGCCTCAGACTCCGTGACCGCCGTTATCTCACGGGAGGGAGCGAGGCTGTGGGCTCAGTGCTCGCAGAGGCCTGGCCTCACCGCCCTCCCTCAGTTCCAGGCACTCAGACTCCTTGTGCCTCGGTTTCATCATCTGTGAAATGGGAAAAAGGACATATCCTATTGCAGAGCCTCGCACCGAGCCGGGCCACGTGCTCACTGCCATCGTGGCTGTGCTGGCTGGTTGTTGGCGCACATGTGTACTGAGGAAATGTGTGTAAGCCAGCGCCCTAAAGCTGAGGCGTTCCAGAACGCTGATTTGCTTTTCTTCATTGCTGCATTTCGGTTCATTAAGGCGTAGCTGAAATAACTGAGCAATAACAAGGAGAGAGCCATCGTGCATATAGCTGTACTGCACAGTCCGTTAATGAAGCTGTAATTCCATGGGACGTGCATGTTTGGAGACGGGGCCTGCTCTGCAGCTGACCGAGAAGCTGGCTGATGCCCGGAGCACCCCCATTGCTCGGCTGACCTGGGCGTGAACTCAGTGCAGCCAGTTGTGTGTGGCCAGGAAGACTCCCGAGCCAGCCAGCGGGGGAAATGGCCTGGTGTAAGTGACGTAATTTCCAAATAACAGGACGTGGTTAGCCCTGAATTAGGGAAGCAAAGCCACGGTGAAGCCGTTAGAAGACGGCCCAGTGAGCCACTGAGCTCTCCCCTGGGGCCGGGGCAGGGCTCCCGGAGTCAGGGCGGGGCGGGCGGCTGACCAGGGTTCGTGCGCAGTGAGGTCCTGGCGCGCATTCGGAAAGCAACAACAGAGACAGGCTGGACCTGAGCAATCGGGAAGAAGGGCCTGCACTTGGGAAGCAGGGAGCTTCCTAAGCCGGCACCGGGCTTCACAGACTTGTTACAGGTGCGGTTTCTGGCTGAGCTTATTTCAAACAAAATTGCAGCCTGGCCGGCGTGGCTCAGTGGCTGAGTATTAACCTAGGAACCAGGAGGTCCTGGTTCCATTCCCGGTCAGGGCACAGGCCCGGGGTTTCGGGCTCCCTCCCCAGTGTGGGGGTGCAGGAGGGTTCTCTCTCATCATTGATGTTTCTCTCTCACCCTCTTCCTTCCTCTCTGAAATATATACATATATATATATATATATATATATATATATATATATATATATATATATATATATATTTTTTTTTTTTTTTTTTTTTTTTCCAGTTGTAGCATCTGGAAAATTCTAGAAGTGAGGTGAAAGAATGGAAAACTTGAATCACTTACCTTATCTCCCATTCTTCAAATTGCTCTCGTAAGCTATTAGAAAAGCATTTGCTTATTTTAGAGGTTTTCACAGAAGACTCCCCAGGAGTTCCAGGACACCCCCCCCCCCGCCCCGCACATTCTTAGGGACCCCTGCCTCCCGGGGGGCAGCAGCCCTCCATGGCGAGCCAATCAGTGAGTAAGCTAACGATTAAGCTAAGACAATAGCACCTGCACTCCCTGTTCTGAGCATGGACTTTTTAAAAAAAAAAAATGCTAGGAAATTGACATTTGGTTAAAAACACATTTCCCTGGTGCTCCTTCCCGCCAGCCTCCTCCGTCGTCCTTTGCACGGCTGCTCACGGGCCCGTTGCCCGGATGGGTAAGACGTGTTCCTGTGAACACAGGAGCCGGGAGGGGGCGGGAACAGGGCTGACGCCCCTGCTGGGTCTCTGCGCAGTCAGGCCTGGGCATCGCTCTCCTGTGTAACACGCCCCTTCCAGACCGTGGGCCGGAAGGCGAGGGCCCTCGGGAGCTCCGTGAGCATCTGTGATCGCTGCCATAGCCGCTCTCAGAGCCAGACCGGACCTCGGACGCCCGAGACGCCGTCCCAGAGCGAGCAGCTGGCTGCCGTCCGGCCTGTGCCCGTGCGGTGACGATGGGGGACCCTGTCGGCTCACGAATAACGCTCCCCGTTCCCTCCCCTCCCCGCTGTCCTGCAGGCCTCCGGAGCGGACGCCCTGGAGCTGAACCTGTCCTGTCCTCACGGCATGGGCGAGAGGGGCATGGGCCTGGCCTGCGGGCAGGTAAGGAGCGCCGCTGTCACCTGTCTGTCAGCGGGCCCGGGGCCAGGGCCGAGGCTGCCGCAGGGCTCAGACGGCAGAGACCAGAGACCACCAGGTCTGCGCTGCCAAGCGGTGATGAGAACAGGGGGTTGGGGGCGGGGGGAGGGAAGGGCCTGGGCTTGAGCAAGGGTGAGGTTTACTGGGGCCAAGCTCCCGTTAGGGGCCTGACAGGAGGGAATCTCACACCAAATGGTTTGCAAAGCGCCCAGCCGACTCGGCTCCCCCGTAAAGCGGCCTAACATGACGCCCGGTCTCCCCGGTCTGTGTGTGACCTGCATGTGAGGAGCGGTGACTTCCTCGCTGCATCTCCCTCCCCTGGTTCTGCTGGGCACAGCATGTACCCGCTGGGGCGGTGACATCTGACCCACAGCCACCGCCGTCCGTCCTCTCTCCCTTCTGCCCGCCCGCCCGCCCGCCCGCCACTGCGATGCGTTTTTCCGTGAAAGCGCCTGTGGTCCTGTCTCTGATGCTAGAGCCAGCACTGATGAGGGCAGGGCTCCGTCACCGCCATCCCATCGCCTGGAGCAGTCCTGTTCCCAGAGAAAGCCGGCATTCTGGGCCGGGGTGGGCCAGCCTCCGTGCCCTCCGCTGTCCTCGGCTCAGGTGCGGCCAGGTGTCCTCACCGCACCGGGGGCGGGGGCGTCGCTGCCCCCCCTGGAGGCCACACAGAGGGCCTCACAGCCCTTCCTGGGGGTCTGCTGGGCAAGAGCTTCGTGTAGTTTTACCCGTTTTCGTTTCCTCGTTCGCTGGAACTGGGTACAGATGAGGGAGGAAGCAGGATGAGCTGGCTAAGCAGTTACTGTTTGTTTTGGAGACGCCAGCCACCTCACAGCCTTGAAAGGGTTTGTAGGATAGTCAGTAAATACTCCCCGAGAGCTTATGTTTTTATTTCGAATTACAATTCGACCACATTTAATCCCTTGTTATTGCTTTGTCAGACTTCTAATTGAATTATTCAGCACATGAAACAAAGGAAAGAATTGTAGACAGCGCACCAGTATTAGCAGAATTAGCAGGGTGCTGAGAATTATTAAAGAGGACATTATGTGTGTTAATCGGGCATTTAATTTTGCCTGTTTGTCGATGGAAAACATCCTCTTGGAAAGGATTTTCTTTTCTTTTTTCAAAAACCTTAATTGTGACAATGCCTTCTTAACATCCGTGAATACATTGCACAAGCCAGCGAGAGCTGTTTGAATCCTAATTAGTCAAGAAAGACTCTTAATTTCCACTTTAACTCTAGGCTGGCCAGCCCACAGGAAGAAGCTGGCCTTCCAAACTGGCATTGAAAAATGGCCCGTGCTCATTGTATGGGGCAGGGATAGTCTTAACATTGAAGGGTCAGTGTGAGAAAGGAAACCGTGGCTGGATCTCATGAGCATCGATACAAAAGACCAAACTGTCAATATGCTGCATCCACAGGGTATCAGCATGCACATGGCATGACCATGTGGGACTCGTCACAGTAAGGCAAGGTTGGTTTAACCCCTCCCCAACATTCAATTAACATAAATCATCACTTAAACAGGTAAAAGGGGGAGGGGAATCATGGTCATCTTCATACTATAGGAAAAAATGTTGATAAAATTCAATATCAATTTTTTTTTAATCTTAGAAAACTAAATAGGAAGGAATTTTCTTAACGTGATTAAACATGGTTACAAACTAACTGCAGCAAAAAGCAAAACTTAATGTTGAAATGTGGTGAGCATTTTTATTAAAGATCAGAGATGAAACAGGATGGGTCCCTGCTATTTGCATATCTAGTCTTCCTTGTGCTGGGCATACAGAGTAGTGAACTCCTAAAAAGACCCAGACACGTATGGAAACTTGATTTACATGAGCCATCCTTGCCACCCAGGACAAAAATGAACTTTTAGCTAAATGATCAGCTGCAAGTCATTAAAGACCTACATGTCATAGGCTTTACTGCTGACATTTAAAAAACAATTTTTTCGTCCATGTGATTGATCTCGTGATATGGAACTCTTCCTTAAACAGGTAGAAAAGGCACAGATTTTAGGAGAAAAGAGTGATCTCAAAAGATACCATGACTAGAGTACACATACAAGATACGGACTGGATATAAACATTTTCCTACAAACAACGAACAGAGGCGCAATGTTTAACATGTTTATCATGTCTGTATAACATATAAATAAACAATAGGTAAAGATGTAAATATATATGCAGAGAGAGACAGTGTGAGCACAAAGCAAGCCATGGAGTTTTGTTAAATGATCACATATGGATGTATATAGATATGCCTATATCAACATAGGGATGGGCAGTGGACAGAATGCTAACCATTGCCCCTAGCGGTTAGGCACTCTGGAAATTTTACTTCTTATTTTATACAGTTGTCTATCTAGGAACTATAGTTAATTCTTGAGTGTTTTTAAATATAACTACCTCAGTAAGTCAGGTTTTAAAGTAGATTTTTCTGTTTGAGTGCAAGGGACCAACCAACCAAAGGACTTGTATGCATGCATATAAGCATAACCGATGGACACAGACACTAGGGGGGAGAGGGCATGTGCTGGGGGTGGGGGTGGCCAGGGAGAGGTCAGTGGGGGAGGAGACATATGTAACACTATATGTAATACTTTAAACAAAGAATTTTTTAAAAATAAAAATACTGAATTTTACCCACAGAAAATAAAATAATTTCCCCACGGTCATATTATTAGACTGCAGAAAACTATTCCAGGGCCTTCACTCAGGCCCAGAGGTTGGTCTGTGGCTTTAAAGCATAAACCAGGTTTAGCTGGAAATGTTGCCTCATTTCCAAAACCTCTTGGAGTGTGGTTACAGCATGTACAAGTGGACTTTGGGACAGAGGCTCATTAATTTTTCTTGGAAATAACGATCAATGATAAATTACCCTAAACTCAGTTGCTTGATCTAGGGTTCCTTTCTATGAGGTAGCCCAAAAATGGCTAGTTTTTATCTAATAAGTATAGTTTGATAGCACTCTATAAATATTTAACAGTGCAATGTTCTTCAATAATAATTCACATTATTGGAGTCATTTTAAAAATGAGATTCTTGTTAAAAACTTCATAGAGGACACGGTCCGTAAGATGTAATTTACCATTTACCAGGAGGGTGAGCAGGTGGACATGGTGAGGCAAACAGAAGCACCTGCGCTCTTTGACCTTTTGCCATTGCTTGTGCGGATGTGGACTCTCCTGCCGCCACGTCCTGCCAGCTTATCACGGAAGAGGGTTTTCTTCTGTCCCTGCCCACTGCCCCCTCCGCAGGCCTATGTTAGCGGAGTTCTGTGCTGGCCTCTCCGTTTCTCATGGACGCCATGAAGCTCCCGCCTCCCTCAGCTGCAGCCGGGTGTGAGCTGAAGGCTGGAAAGCCGGTCAGCCCCGCCCCAGACCCCTGCACCGTTCGGAGAAACATTGCGGTGCTGCATGGAGCCAGCCAAGCAAAACGCTTTTACTCCCTGCACGGAGACGTCAGCTCTAAATTATTAATTATGTTACATGACATGATTTCTTAGGAAACTCCATTTCTCTTTTCTGTGTTTCAAATATGACTTGTGGGAGAGAGGCGCCTTTTGAAAACTGACAGTTCCCTGGGAGTCAGGAGGGAGCGGGGACGCAGACCTCGCCCTGGCCTGTGGCTCGGAGGAGGCAGAGTGCTCATTGCAGCTGGCACTCTTCACCTGACCCCCTCAGCCCCCGCTCAGCTGCTATTAACCTTTGTTTGTGACAATTGGAGAGAATAATGGCTGAATTTGGGGCCTTTAATGTCACGTGGAAATCAATAGCTGTAAATGGTGGTTGCCACAGTCCTAACTGATCTGTCACATTCAGACAAAGAGGGCCTGTCTGGGGTTCATAGATGACAGCAGAGACAATTACACACACACACACACACACACACACACACACACACGGAAAACCTTGACAACAGGTTTTTAGAAGGTTTTATTGATTTTGTTTTGTCTGTTTTAATCGTGTGTTTTTTAAAAATACCTAAACGATTGGAGTAACAGTGGCCCATAGATCCCTATAGCTTTCAGATGTGGATTTCTGTGATCCAAGGTCTGTGCCCACCAGTCAAATCCTCTCCCCTCACCATACATTAGGCCCTCTCTGTCCCCTGCCCCTCACATTCCTTTGCTCTAGCAACCCTCATAGATTTTATGAAAACACTTTAAAATAATAAAGTCAATAAAAACAAATCCTATCTAATAAAAGGCTAATATGCAAATCGACTGAACAGCAGAACGACTGTCGCTATGACATGCATTGACCACCAGGGGCAGGTTCCCAACGAGGGCTCGTGGCTGGCCAGCACAGCGGCGATGGCGGGAACCTTCCTGCCTCCGCAGCAGCGCTAAGGTTGTCCAGCCGCAAGAGGGTGCAGGCTGGGCTAAGGGACTCCCAGAGTGCACGAATTTTATGCACTGGGCCTCTAGTAAAGAAATAAAAATTTAGCAAAAGAAAAAGTAGAAAGAGTAAAAAAATAAAAATTAAAAAAAAAAATACCTGAAACTGTAGTGGACCACAGCCAGGGAGCAGACTCTCCCACAGACTCAAAAAGGGGGCTCTGCCGTGAAAACAAATGGAACCAGCCTTCTTCGCCGTGGTGACAGCGAGGGATGGGGGACAGGTGATCAGCCAGGACAGAAGCTGCAAACAGCTGGAAATAAAAACAACTCCAAGCCCACAGAGCTGGGCCAGCCCAGCAGCCCGCTTATCTGTCCCCACGCAAATCGTCCTCAGACTCATCCGTCAGCGTCCGCTCCCAGGGCTCCGCCTGACCTCGTCCTCGGCGTCCTCATTTCCATGGACGGTGAGCGGATGCAAATGAAGGGATGTTAGTCTTACGTTCCCGTGGGCGACTCTGATAAGCCCCTGGCCACCGCGGAGCCCACAGCGGCCGGACGCGTCTGGACATTGATGGATTCCTGCGGGGGCCGAGCTCTCCTGCTCAGCCCGGGA